TGGCTGCTTGATTGTGAGGTTGTGGAGAATAAGTAAGACCAGGAGACCAATTAGTAGGAGCCTGATGTGGCTACCCCGGCAGGACGCAACAGTGGTGGCATGAACTGGAACAGGCAGTGAAGACAGTGAGAGAAACTGACATTTTGTGGCCAACTGATTGGGAAGGTGAGGAACAGGAAGAAATCCAGGAGGACTTCCAAATGTCTGCTCTGAAGGCAGTCATCTTAAGGTACTGCTTTCTGCCTCCTTGGCGTGTGTGCACATGCGCACCTGGGGGGGGGCAGGAGGAGGGCAGGGTAAGGGATTGTGGCATCCGGCATCTGGTCTCAGGGATTCTGCCAACCTCCTGGTCCTATTGGAGCTGAGTCATACAAGAAAGATGTACAGTGACCTGAGGAAAGGAGGCATATGGGGAATGGAGGATTCTGACCAGAGACTGCTTATGGGAGGAGAGCCACAGAAAGCAAACAGATGCCCATGGAGGGGCAGCGAGGGAGCAGACCAAATATAGTACACCTCGGTGAAGCTCACACACTCTGGGAGATGCTGTAGCAAAACAGACCAGGGTCCTGGTTCTCATGGTTTGACCAGGCATTCCTAGGAAAGCATCAAATTTGCTCTGTAGACTGAGTCCCTGGTTCTTCCTCCAGGAAGTGTGGGTGTCAGGGGCGGGAGGGGGGTGACAGAACCCCTCTGTCCTCTGTGACAAGAATCATCCCACTTCCTGGCAGAGTACAGGAACAGCAGGTAGGTGTGGTTTGTGCTTTCCTTCTGGAAAACATTACTTTTTCCAGGGAAATATCCTCTGGCCTCCCAGTTCCTGAATTGTGAATTCCAGTTTAGTCCCACCATCTGGGGTAGCAGTGGACACCTGAAGAGGAACCCAGCCTGTGCTGTGGTGAAAGTACAAGGTCTAAACAAGCCACTCTCTGAGGGCCTTCCCCCTTTATCACCTCCCCCTGAGCTCATCATGCTCCCGGCACATTGAGGTTGGCTTTCTCCTCATAGAGACTGCTCAGTTGAAGATACCAGGAATGAACTGGGCCTGGTAATTGAGTGTCTTCTATCTCTGTTTCCGTTCTCTGATCTCACTCCAGCCATGTCATGGCTCCCTGCACCTGGCTTTGTAGCCGAGTGACACATTTACCCTTTTAAGATTGCACCCACTGATTCCATCCCAGCCCCTGTGCTTTGGCAGTCTGGGGGAAATCCAGCAGGCTTGTGAATGTACAGGTTACCTGCACATCTCATGATTTAGTTAAACATGACTGACTAATTTATCTTGCAGTGTGTGATTTCATCGCAAGTTGACTTGGCAATTTTCTCAGCTCAGAGAACATTCTAAATAGATGGTGTGCCAGCAGTAGAGGGAAAATGGATGCTATTAATTTCCCATTTCCAAATGTGAGACTGGCTGGAAAGTCCATATCCTGTTTTTGGATAATCACACTACTGTTTAGAGTGGAGCAGGGTCAGAAAGGCACGGTTTGGTTCCCAGAGGCTCTGACTTGGGGCTAATAAGTGGGTTAGTGTGAGATGCTCTTGCAATCAGAATTGGTACCTGGGCAAAAGCAAGAATCTCTGCCTTGAGCAACAACGGCTTCTCTTTCCACTGTGAGCACAGGTTAGCCGGGGTGTGAGGAGTTGGCTCGTGAGAGCTTGTTATCTTCTTCCTCAGCCACCTTAAAAGGCTAAAGGGAGGGAGAAAAGACACATTTGGGTAGTTGGTTATCATGGTGAGCCTCTGCAAAGTTGGAGATCAGAGAATGAGAGCAACCTTCATCAGTGCGGCAGCCTGCTCTGGTGGATCTGAAACTTGTGTTCCTCAGTGCAAGGGTAATGAGCAACGTGGGATGAGACATGTGCCTGAGAAGTTAGTGTGTACATTTATTTAAAATTAATTCATTTAGTAGGGTTACACAAGTATTCTCTTGCACATATTTGTGAGCAGGCAGTCAGTTGTGATTATTTGCATTTGACTTAATTTCTTTCTGAAATGTCCAGCACTTGTTTACCCTAATCCAACCTCTAAACATTCTATTTAAAATAATAATTACAAAAAGAACTGAAACCCTATCTGGCGCATTCCTCAAAACCATTGTAGATCCTATAGTTAGTCAAACACTTGAAACATATTGTCAGATTTGTCATGATCTCATTGTCCTGGGATAAGATATGATAACAGATCCCAGGAGATTTGGGGATAGGCCTGTGGTGGATAATAAAGCTGAGATCCACTGTAGGCAGAGTGGCCCCACAGACTACTACCAACAAGAAACTCTGTTCCACTTCCTACCTGTCTCTTACACAATAGTCAGGTCTGTGTGTCCAAGGTTGTTAGCTACTTTATATCAATAGCTGGGCACATTCACTGGACACCATGTGGAGACTAAAGCGTCAACGTAGGGATGAAAACTGGTAGGCTGTGGAGAGGTTGTGGAGAAAAGGGAACCCTCCTCCATTGCTGGTGGGAATGTAAACTGGTTCAACCACTTTGGAAGTCAATCTGGCGCTTTCTCAGACAACTAGGAGTAGTGCTACCTCAAGACCCAGCTATACCACTCCTAGGTATATACCCAAAATTTGCTCAAGTACACAACAAGGACATTTGTTCAACCATGTTCGTAGCAGCTTTATTTATAATAGCCAGAACTTGGAAACAACCCAGATGTCCATCAACGGAGGAATGGATACAGAAATTGGGGTATTTTTACACAATGGAATACTACTCAGCAATCAAAAAGGAGGAAATCATGAAATTTGCAGGCAAGTGGTGGGATCTAGAAAAGATCATTCTGAGTGAAGTATCCCAGAAGGAGAAAGACAAACTTGGTATATACTCGCTTATATAGACCTACAAGATATGATAAACATAATGAAATCTACACACCTAAAGAAGATAATCAAGAAAGTGGACACAGGCGAAGGTGATTAATCCTCATTTAGAAAGACAAATGGGATGTGCATTGAACTTATGACAGGAGTCTACCACAAAAGGCATCTGAAAGACTCTACCTAGCAGTGTTTCAAAGCAGACACTAAGACTCATAACCAAACCCTCGGCAGAGTGCAGGGAATCATATGAAAGAAGGGAAGTTAGTATGATGTGGAAAGGATAGGAGCTCTACAAGGACCAAACATATCTGGGCACAGGGTCTTTTCTGAGACTGACACTCAACCAAGGACCATCTATGGATATAACCTAGAACTTCTGCTCGGATGTGGCCCGTGGTAGCTCAGTAACCAAGTAGTTTTCCAAAGTAAGGGGAACATGGACTATTTCTAACAGGATTTCAAGGACAGGCTCTTTGACACCCCCCCCCTCGGGGAGGAGCAGTCTGTTAGGCCACAGAGGAGGACTTTGCAGCCAGCCCTGAAGATACCTGATAAAACAGGGTCAGATGAAAGGGGAGGAGGTCCTCCCCTATCAGTGGACTTGGAAAGGGGCAGGGAGGAGACCAGGGAGGGAGTATGGGGTTGGGGAGGGAATGAGGGAGCGGGATACAGCTGGGACACAGAGTTAACAAAATGTAACTAAAAAGAAAAAAATAAAATAAATAAATGAATTAAAAAAAAAAAAAAGAAAACTGGTAGGCTGCATGGAGGCAGCCGGGGCCTGCACTTCCATACTAGTTTAGAAATTGGAGAAAGACCTGTCTTGCCTGAGGTCTGGGAAGCTTCTGCTGCACCAACCCATAGCTGAAGATTAGACATAAACTGTAAACTGAGGAAAGCATCCTGGATTATTACTTTCTTCTGCATTCTCCCTGAGAATGCTCCCTGACAGCACCATGATGTATTCAAGCACTGTGTGCTTCCCGGAGGCTGCAGTGGAGTTGGGATGACACTTTGTCCATCTCCATTGCCCCCATAGACTTCCAGGGGAGAGCTTGGGGCATCAGCCTTTTCTGGGCTTCCAGCCATGTCCTCTCAACACTGTGAGGTGATCAGATTTAGCTCTGCATTAAAATGGCAATGTGCTCAATCTCTTAGCTTGCTTACTCTCCTCCAGCTTTAGATTTTGAAAAAAATAAAATAAAATAAAATACAAAACAAAAACAAACAAACAAACAAAAAAAGAAAACCTAGCAGTTGTGAAGATCAGTCCATGGTTCCCTCTTGGCTGTGTGATTTTTACGCTTTTCTCTAATCACTGAAGGACACATAGTGATTCTTTTTCAGGATCATCTGAGCATTCACTGTACTCCCTCATCCCTTGCCAAGGTTTTCTCACTCCGAATGAAGGTGGGCCCCAAAGGAATGGCAGAGAGCATTAGACAGTCCACTCCAGTCTCTCCTTCCTTTCCTCGTTTTGGATTTCCCCTCCCAGGCCACAGCATCTATACACTGTCACACAACTTGCACCCACTTCCTTACCTGCTTTCCATTCACCAGCCAGAGTTTTCCTTATCAGTATCTTCCTGAACCCACCACTGTGTCACGCACTAAGACAGTAGGCTGGGTAGAGGCAGGAAGGGCTCAGCCACGGCGGAGACATTTACCTGTCAACAGCAGGAGGCGAACAAATGAAGAGTCCAACCAAATTCCCAAGTTCACCTTGTCCCACTACAAAACAGGGACTCTGCTGTTGCATGTCCTCTCATGATGCCCCAGGCATTGTCTCCCTAGGAGCGGGCACTGGTTAACCTCTTAGTGCGAGCACGGGGAGATGTCATGTTCTCTGGCTAAATTGCAATAACAAGTTTTATGTGCTTAGCAAAAGGGATGTCAGCCAGACTTTGAGGATGCTGTACAAATGTGAGGTGTCAGCAGCGTGCTTTATCTGAGGCAGACCAGGTCTGAGCAGCCTGTCTGTCCTAGAACTCCAGCGTTTCTCCTTGTCTCACATTTAACCCATGACAGCAGCATCCACTGGGGGTTGGTTTTCCGAGTGTCTGGGCAAGGAGGATTGCCTCGACTTTGGCAGGTTGGCCGATGACCTTGCACACACTGGGTGGAAGTCCCACGAGCTCACCATCTGCTCTGTGTGTTCCCTGCAGCCTGCACAGACAAGGAGCTGAGGAACCTTGCTTCCCGGCTGAAGGACTGGTTCGGGGCTCTTCATGAAGACGCCAACAGAGTCATCAAACCTACCAGCTCTGATACAGCCCAAGGCAGTAAGATCATTCTATTCTTGCCATTTCACTATACATATCAGTCTTGGTTATCAGGCACCATGGGGTTAGCAATGTATGTTAGTTAAATAAATGGATTTAAATTATGTCCCAATTTTAGGACATTACATTATCAAAGAAGGGTGATTCGTTAGAATCAAGAGAAATAAGACTTTTGGAAAAATGTGATTTCATAGAGATCATGTTTTACACAGACATTTTAGAAAATATGCTTTATAGAAAAAAATCATGTGTGTAAACACACATGCACACATATATAATACTTATTTAACAACTAAAGCAAGCAACAGTATATACTTGAAGTACCTTCCTTGTTGTATATGGAAATGTGTGTGTTGGAAAGCTCATGCACAAGCTGATATACCATTTGGAAAGCTAAACATCTAGAAATATCATTATGCTTTCACATTATTGAGTGGTCTCTAGCAGAAGCCAAATAGGATCCTAATCATGGCTATAACAACTTAAGAAGCCTTTAATTAGGACATTTGGGTTGTTGCTAATATAAGCAACAGTGTAGCAAGCATCCCAGATAATGTGCTTTTCCTGAATGCTCAGCAGCCATCTTTAACTTTGCCGGGAAACCACAAAGCAGGTGCCCCTCCCGCTCCTTTACCACTAACACGCAGGCTCCTGTAGGAGCTGCCAGAGCTCTGAGATGAGCAGAGGCCATGCTCACACACACGCACACACGCGTGCATGGCACGCACGCATGTGCACTTCCCCTCTCCATGCAGTGAACTCCGAGGCACAGCAGAGATCAGTGATCTACCAATCCTTCAGATACAGGCAGCTTGGCTGTGTGCACATTTGAAATGACATGATCAAAGTATTCACACAGCCTCCTACCCTCCCATTGTTTGGATGAACTATGACCACCACTCTCCTGACTTGAGGTAGGAGATGAGAAGTTACAACGGCAGCTCAGCCCCCTCAGCTGGACCAGTCTCTGATCTCCAGCCCAATATGGTGGTACACATGTGTTCCCATATACTTGGGAAGCTGAAGCAGGAGGATCCTGTAAAGACAGGATACAGACTTGTCTGAGCTTCGTGGACAGATGCTGGCTCCAAAACAAAAAATAATGATCTTACTTTTCGATGATTCTTTGATACCCATATCTTTCTGGAGAAAGCAATGAAGAGAAAAAAATGCTTAGTGTAACAGCTTCACTCTTTTGTCTTAATGGCAAGATAGCACTTGTTTCTCAGACTGTTTTACAGGTGGAAGCTCTTGGTAGCCGTATCTATAGGAAAGTGAGATGAATTGGGCTTTTTGTGGAGTTTTTGTTTTGTTTTGTTTTGTTTATTTTGTTTTCCATTCCTGCCAGAGGTTCCTTGGGAGTTTGTAGGCACTGATTTCCATGTAGACTTGAAAAGCTTCTCCATGGAAAGCAGGCTTTTGGGAAGAGAACTCCTTGAAGCCTCCTCCTTGAAGCCTCCAGTCAGTCCTCACAGAGCCTTTCTATAGACAGGCAGGAGCCTGAAAAACTCCAGTGTTCCTAGGAGTAAACTGAGCTCTCAAAGCCACTGTAGGTTTGATGCCCCGAAGCCACTGGGGCAGAAGGGGTGTAGAGGAAGGATGCTTTAGTCCTCTGAAGCTGGAGAAAAGAGCAACCCATTTGTTGGTCCATGAGTCCTGAAGGGGCAGCCCCAGAGCCTGGCTCCATCTGTCTCCAATAGCTGCAGATGGCAGGTTCAAGTGCCCTTTTGGACACTGGAAAGGAGGTGGAGAAGGCTTCTCCTTTTGACTAAGCTGCACAGCATGGCATTTCTTCTGCTTGATGATCATGGCAGTCAATAAAGAAGGACCCACATTACACCCCATAGAAAGAACTAAGAGAAATACTCCTTTGAGAGCAAAATGAATCAACTTAAATAGGCAAAGATTCACTTGAAAGGGTAAACTTAAAGCCAGCTAGCAAACTCCTCTAGCTAGAAAACAACTATTTTTTTTTTTCTGATACAATGTGCCAGTAGTGCTGAGGTTATCAACGAGAACATGGAGGTCAGAAAGCATCTAGTCTGATTAGCCAGTGTCAACAGTGAAGGGAAGTCAGGGTCTCCTAGAGCTCACAGGAGGTTGCTGCAATCTCCGTGTGGATTTTTGTACAGCTCTACCTTAAAGATGTTGCCTCATGAAGCCAGGCTCCCTAAACAAAGGTGCCCAAGGGGCACGTGGGAGTGCAGGAAGCACTGGACTGGGCAGTCTGTCTCGTCAGACACTGTATCCCACATACAGCGGCACCCTAGGCCGATGGATACTTTCAGGACAGATGTATCAGAGAAGGCAGAGGGGAGCGCGAGGAGACCGTGTAGGTACTATAGATCCAGACCAGGCTTTCTGTGTTTTAATCCTAACCCTGAATCTTAGAATCTTGCTATTTCCCCATCTCTAAGGTAGAGATGATGACACCTCATGTGACTGCCACTAGGATTTAGTGAGTAACTAAGCACACGGTGCTTTGAAGCAGTGTTTGGTATTTGGTGTTTCCAGACATGGTTTCTCTGTGCAGCCTTGGCTGTCCTGGACTCACTTTTTATACCAGGCTGGCATCGAACTTATAGAGATCTGCCTGCCTCTGCCTCCACGCCCAGCTGCTTAGACACGTTTTCATCTGTAGAATCCTAGGAAAATAAAGCTCATCCTAGAGACTCAGTTTATAGGAAAAGCTATGATTTTATCATCCCTTACCTCTGAGGAAGGCGGTCTTGAGGTCTGTCTACAGGGCTGTGGCGTCCAGAGCATGGTGTGCTCTTTCCTGCCCTTATCATCTCCTTGGTGGAAACAAAGAATCTGTCAAGAAAAACTTCTCCTTCTCAGGGGAAATAAGAAAGAAATGACTGAGTAGATCTGGATTCCATCTCTGCTGCCTCCTTAGGGGACTGCAGAAAGGAAGAAAGGGAGCAGAGGAAGATCCTGGGGGGGCTGACCCCCAGCCTCAGGCCAGGCCACAGGGAGAGAATGGAGCCTCAGAGACTCACCCCCTGCTGCTATCTCCCCCACCCCAACCTCACTCCTTTTTGCAATATTCTGTTTTGAGTTTTCTTTTTTTTTCCCCCTGAAAATGATAAGCTCAGATTTCAGTATTATGCCTTTTATGTTTTAGTATGGTTGTAGTTTACCGTTCAGTCTTGCAACAATGGGACTCATATTTTTACCACAGACACCTTATCACAGGGAATGATTTTTCTTTTGAAGATTTTTTCCTCATTTACTTGTCTTGTATGTAAAGGACACGGCCTGGGGGGAGGACACAGTTGTGTGCACCCTGACCCCTCCGGGTCACTGCGTTAGGGAGTGGCATGGTGTGCTCCTGCCTGACAGGCTGAGCGTGTCCCTTTCTCTCCCAGGGTTTGACACCAGCATCCTGCCCATTTGCAAGGACTCCTTGGGCTGGATGTTCAACAAGTTGGACATGAACTATGACCTCCTGCTGGACCACTCAGAGATCAATGCCATCTACCTGGACAAGTATGAGCCCTGCATCAAGCCTCTCTTCAACTCCTGTGACTCCTTCAAGGATGGCAAACTCTCCAACAATGAGTGGTGCTACTGCTTCCAGAAGCCTGGAGGTGAGGTGGGCTCCAAAGGCCAGGCAGCCATGCTGGGCAGGGAGGACATCTAAGACCCACACAGAAACACACAGCTGTCAATCGCCCCAAGAAACAGCCAGCTCAAAGGTGTCTGTCTGCTTTTAACATGGTGACCATGAAGTTCTCAATGTGAAAAATGCCACACAGATGTAAGAGGAACATATTTCTCATTGTCAGCTGAACTCTCCTTAATTATGATACTTTGCTCATAAATAAACAACAGCTAATGAAAGACACAGGATCTAAGGGAGATAGGAGGCAAGGATGCCAGTGTCTCCTGGTACCTGAAGTGAGGCAAGGGAGCGGCCCGCTGCAGCATTCCATCCAGTGGCCATGCTCTGCCTCGCCTGTGGGTGGGTCACCTTTTCTGTCTGGCTTTACTTCTATCTCTGGTCCCCTAGGGGGTATACTCAGCGGACCAGAAATCTGCCTGTCTACTAATAGTATTTAAATTGCGCAATATTTATGCATGTGCACAGAGATGCCAGTACACACATAGAAAATGTAGAGACTCCAAAGAGCATTGGGGAAGAATAATTTCACGTGTACATTCATAGGATTATCAGATCTATCCCCAGTGGCACAGCACCATCTTTGCATTTTAGCACAGTGGCCAAACGGCCTTCCGAAAAAGATAGATTGGATATTTTCAGTGAGAGGAAAAAAAAAAAAAAACCCTCAGAATATCATTTCTTCACATCAGTATCAAACCTAGTCACTATTGTCACACTGGGACAAAACAATGCTATGCTCGCCACTGGCTGCATTCTGTTTATCACGAATGAATCTGAGTAGCTTGGCTCATCTCTGGCACACTCCTGGGGGTCTGTTTCCTTGAAACAATTTTATGTTCTTCGTACATTTTTTTTCCTATTGGAATCATGCAGGAAATCATCAATCTATGGACTTAGAACTTTGCCAGTAATGAGTACTGCAAATACGTTTTTCCAACTCTAACTTTGTGCACTTTCTTGTTAGGGAAAAAAAAATGTAAATCTTGATATAGTTGCATGTCTTAATTTTCTTCCTCTATCCTTTTTTAAGTCATCAAGTTTGCATTAGGCTTGGAAGGGTATTTTTCCCTTGAATCTAGTAAAGCAACCCTCTCATGTTTTTTACTTACTTTGCTGGCTTTGTGTTTGTTCAAATTTTGCTTTACTCTATGTACATGTACAAAGTGAGGAGTCCTCAGTTTCTGCTTCAAACCAGGAGACAGCCACCCAGATGCCTTCATTCCATTTATTGACTAATCGTTCCTTCTATCAATAGCATGTCCAATATATATGTACATGTCTAAGATTTGTTCCTGAACATTCAGTCCCACTTACCTAACTATCGATAAATCAATTATAGCCAATTTAATTCACGGTTGAAAAAAGAACAGTTTAAATCACAGTTGATGGACCCTAGGCCTTGATACACAGTAGGTCTCTCTTGCCATTAGTTTTTTGTTTCAGAATATTCTAGATACTGTTTTTCTTCCCTCCTGAACTTTAGAATGCATTTGACCAGTTTATTAAAAATTCCTTTCAACTATATAATTTGATTCCTTTTATCTTACAGGCTTCTTGCAGCTAGTGGAGTTAGAATTTTCAGTTTTTTCTCATCAGTTTCCCTTCTTGGCACTACTGTAATGGTCCTGTGTTCCTCCTACTTCCTCTCAAAACCCTCACTTTATTTCCGGTTTCCCATTTGGCTGGCTTGGTGTTTTCAGGTATAAACTGTGTCATGTGCAAAGAGTGATAATTTTTTCTTTAAGTACTAAAATGTAGTTGCATCATTTTTCTCCTTCCCCTTTATACCTCATTTCTTCCTGTTCTCCAGCTATTTTAGCTAACACACATTGTAGCTAAATAACAGCAATTGTTTTACTTCCGTCTAAAACGCTCAGGCACAGAGCCTGAGCCACTGTTGAGGGTGGTGTGCCAAGCTAAGCTTACTCACTCCCATACCCACAGTACTGAGGGAGGCCCTGGCCCACAGGGCTATCCCTGCACGGCTCCTGGTCAGGACTCCCGCCTGTGGTGTGCCTCGGAATGATGCACCATCTGAGGTTCATTCCGAGAAAAGTTATTTCCCAATTCTGTATACTTGTCTCACTTCCATTCTGTCTCTATGTTGTTTTCCCTGTTGTTTGATTTATTGCATTATTTCACACACACACACAAAAAGCTTCGAGATGACAGATGTCATACTCAGAATTTACAGGTCAGTGTTAAATACACTCAAGTCGAAGCTGGTGATGGTGTTTGGGGAGGCTGCGGAACGTTTACCAGGCAGAGCCTGTGTCCACTGCCTCTAGTCTCTCTCCGCCTCCTGTGTGTAGAGGAAAAGTCACCAACGATCTTCTTGCTCCTGTCTGCATGCTGTACCTTCCAAGCCCCCCAACGGACTCTGGCCTGCTGAAATTGTAAACCAAAATAAACCCTTTCTTCTTAAGTTGCCTCGATGAAACACCATGGCCAAAAGCAACAGAAAATTAACTCTGCAGGATCCTTTTTCTTCTTTTCAAGGAGCTTAGTTGTGTGGAAGCCACCTTCGTTCTGCTCTGTGTGTCGCATCGTGGATGTGGGATGTGTTATGCTGCTTTGAACTCCAGAATTAGATTCTTTCTAATTTTTAGGAAACTTTTCTCTCTATCTGGTTAGTCTTTCATGGCTTCGGAGGTGACCTTCCTTGCTTACACTTGTTTTCTTTCTATGACACACTCATCCATGAGCCTGAATGCCCTGCCCTGAACTCTGCTCTTCCACAGTCTACTTTTTTGTTAGAATACCTGGCATCTTAGAGAAACCGCCACACTTGTCATCAGCTCAGCAGCACATATTTTTCAGGGTGAATTTTTTATATTAAAAATGAAAAAAAAGTGTACTTATGTGCATTTGTGCAGATTTTCATTAGTTTGTTTTTTTTCTCTTTCTTTATGTAAGAAGTTTTTAAAAACTACCATAGGAAAATTTAACGAAGTATCATAAAATTAGAGCCTTGCTCCATTCCAAGCAGCTTGAGTATCCTTTTATATAATGCTCTGTCATGGATGAGAATTTCCATTTACAAGATAGTGATAATATCAGTACATTTTTTGTATGGTGATTGTAAAGATTTTTTTTAAAAAAAAAGCTCTAGAACATTTAACACTTCAGTAAATGGCAGCGATTAGTCAGTCATATAAGTACTGCCTTTCATACTCACGGTGAGATTTGTTTCAGTCTTTCTCCTAACCCTGAGTGAAGTAAGAGGCGTGTATCTTGTAGCCATTCTTTCTCACCTGGCAGTAGCAATGCCAGGGGGCGATGTGAAACCTGTATGGTAATAGACAAAAGTGGTTAAGAGAGATGGCTAAGAGGACAGAGGCGTGGAATTCCTTACCCATGCCACAAGGGCCCTGAGCTGATGGCACGACCTGCCAGAGACATAAGACTGACAAAAGGCAAGATAGGTAAATTCTGAAATACTAGTGAGGTCACTCGTCACTTTGCCTGGTAGTAAACTCCTCTCTAGGGATACCACACAGACCCACGCTCTGTCGTCCACACACTAAGCCATGCGGCTCGGCTCCCTGTCTGTCCTTCACAGCCGTCTCCGGGTGGTTGTTCACACATGGATTTCATGAGTGAGGGCTCAGTGGCTGGAAGCAGTGAAGAGACGTTGGAGCTCCTGCGCATTCAGGAGGCAGAGAGAACTGCGATGGAGTCTCACTCTGGATGACGTGGCTCATTGTTTTCCCCATGGCTGGCATGTCCACACGGGCATGTCTGAGAGCTTCTAGCCTCTCTCCCCTGGGACAGGAGCTACAGCAGATCAAGCCCTGTCACTCCTGGCCAGCTGGTCTGTATACTCAGAGTTCTTACCCTCTAGTAAGCCTGAGCCTCCATTTTTCCCTCCCAGAAACCTTTTGCTGGATGTTTCCTTTGCTGAGAAAATAGAAAAGTCTATGAGCCGATCCCCTGGTGTTCTTTGGCCTGGTGCGGGAAGGAAGCGTCCTAGATTATATAAGAAGCCTCCACATGCTATTTTAAGTGCCTTGTGATATGGATCTTTTCTCAAAATTAGTAACACACATGGCCTGGATTTGTTTTGTTGCACAGTCAACAACATATGGAGCAGTTCCTCACCCAGGTGTGTCGTTGCTGCATTTCGCATCAAGAGCAGAGTCAATCATTAGAGATTATATTCGGTACCATCTGGAAACTGACTGCCATAAATTATTTTCCAGGTCTCCCTTGCCATAACGAAATGAACAGAATTCAGAAGCTGAGCAAGGGGAAGAGCCTGTTGGGTAAGTCCAATTCCTCGCCACTCACTAGAACAGCTAATGAAAGCATCCACCTATCTTGTAATGTGCAGCTCTGCAGTGTTTATTCAATTAAGGACGGTGTCTTCTGGAAGAAATGCCTAGATTTCCCCCAGCCTGAGCTCTTGCAGGAAGCTTGTATGCAGAAGGTGGCCTCTACCAGCAAGTGAAGCTAGAGGTTGGGCCAGGGCCTAGCAGGTAGCCCTGGCCACATTCCGTATCCAGGTCTCTGCTGTTCCCTCCCTCTGTTCTGGCTACCCAAACTCGTGGGTTTCTCTATGCTGGATAAAGCCATTAAATAGTTGGCATGAGTGTTTTTCCAGTTCTTAAAATGAAAGGCTTATAAGTTCAGGTTCTTCTCTTTCCCAGGGCTGGTTGTCCATTTAAGGAACAAGACAAGCCGTGACCCCTCCAGAATGTATCAGGATAGGGTCGAAAGGCATGCACCTCTCTGGATGGAAGATTCCAACTTCTCTAGATGCTGCCTTCTCCTTTGAGTTTAAGGCAGTTTAAGTCTGTCAGTTGCAGGAGTACAGGCTCCTTTTTGGTCCTCTTAGCTCTGGGAAGGGGGATGTATGTTTACCATTGCTAACACACTGGTAAACCTCGTTTGATGGAAAGGGAACCTGCCTGCTTTCCCTGTTAAAAGGAGCAGACAGCTGCAACCTAGTAATTCACAATTATTCTCCTGAAGCTTCCGGAGGCAGGTGCATTCCCCACGCGCCACACTAATTCAAAAGTTAATCTACTTGCTTTAAGGAGATGGGCACATTTTTCCTGAAGATTACCAAATGCAAGCGCTCTATGAATGCTGGCATTTTATCTTCTAAGTGTTGGGGGGTCCCTCATAGTGCACTCCCCTTCTTCTACCTTCATGTATAACTTATTTCCGTGGCCTGCCCCATACTTTTGATTTTTGCTAGAACTTTAAAGTTGTGCTTCTGAGCTCTTGCAGCCTTGGTTTGTTGGCGTAAGAGACATCTTTCTTGCTGAAGACACAGCACCTGGAAACTGCCTCCCTAAGTTTTATCCAACTGAAGGATTTCTGGTGGCTGGCTGCATTTTTTTCTACATAGGGCGGTGTTTGGGGTTTGAGAATGTACCCAAGATCTGCATGTAGTTTATGCAATTACAACATTTTTAAAGCTCCACAGTTTACGGTGATGGTGTTGCCATTCATTATGACATGTCTATATAAGGCATGCCATCTGACATGTCTCATTTCATGTTCCTCAGGGCACAGGATCTAACTGCTGGCCACCTTTCTTCTACCATAATCTCATGCGTGTCTCCCACATACTGAGTTAGTTTACTGAGACTAACTCATACAAATGCCATCTATATTGCTTACAAATTATTTTCTCCATGAAGAAAGTCTCCTAATATAACAACTGTGTATTAAGGGATATTCATATTCAAATAAATAAATGAAACAAGCAACAACAAATTATAATCAGTTATAATTACCACCTACTTAGAAAAAAGCAGTAATCTTATTAAATTATAGATTTAGTACAACACCTGCTTCTCACCAACCTGAAGGCTCAGCCCAATTTTAATTTATTTTGTGGTCTATTAGGTTCTGTGGTTTTTATCTGCTGTTTGGGGGGAACAGCTTTTCCCCTCCTCACTGCCCTTGACTGAAAAATCTTTTCAAAGGGCTCTCTGCCTTTTCGTTGCATGAGCAACTGAAAGAACATAATCCTTATTTCCCCCTATGTGCTCCCTGAACACTAAGGATCCTGTGCCCTGGCTGGAGCCCCCAGGGAAGCTCCAGGGTGTGACACTGGGTACCAGCTGTCTTTCCAAAGTGTTGACTATAGTGCTAGGATATCTTACCCGTCTCTCAGAATCTAGACATTGCCAAACAGCCTGGTGAGCAGCATACTGAGGGCCTGGAGAGAGGGCTCTGGGATTAAATGTGCTGGCTACTATTGTAGAGGAACAAGGTTGGATTTTGAGCACTACATAGTAACTCATGACCATCTGTACCTCTAGTCCCATGGGATCCAATACTCTCTTCTGGCCTCTATGGGCATCCAACATGCATGCAGGGTGCCAACATACGTGCAGGCCAAACAGTCAAATGTATAAAATGAATAAATGTGAAGAAAAACATTTTAATTGGATCCTATACTCATCTATATCTAAGTTTACTGACACAAGGAAAACCTGACCCTCCAGTGTTACAGTTGAGTAAGGTATTATTCTATGAAATAAAAAATCAATTTGAAAACATAGTTATGCCAAAAAGACAACAGAAGTAAAGTCAGTGAGTAGAAATCCACAGTGGTAACTGGGACCTTCGCTTCAGTGATGCAGGATGTGGTTTCTGGGGTCACACTGAGAATTCCCCCAGAGATGATGAACTCATAGACATGAATGAAGATTACCTAGCATTAAACAAGAATAAGTTTGTCGTCAGATTTCCGTGGATGACACTAGTCTAGAAAGATAAAAATAGTGTTTCTCAAGCGGGCATAACTTCGAACCTAGTCCCCAGTATAGTCAAGGTGATGCTACAGATTCTCAAACCATCAAAGATAATGTATATAAGTCTGTTCCAAATGAGATTGTGAAAAAAAAACAGCATAGCAATAAATCTAAACAAACAACAGCTATGGAGCAGTTTGGCTACGAGCACTCAAAACAGAGGCAGAAAGATCTCTGAGTTTAGGGTTAGCCTGGTCTATATATAAGAAGTTCCAGGCCAGTCTGGACTACACGGAGAGACCCTGTTTCAAAACCAAAACCATAACAACTTTTTGAGAACAAGCTTTTTGAGAACAAGGATTAAAATTATAAACTGTTGAGGGCAATGAAGAGCTGGGTGGTCAATGTGCTACATTTCTATTTTACCTGGTAAGAGAAGAAAATACAGATTGACTCTAGATCGCACTTGGAAAACTGTACTGTGCTGTAGAAATTATCAGGGACTTCCCCAGAATATCAGAAAAAAAAAAAGAGCTTTTAAACATGAAACACATGGAGGAAAGAAAAGCTGTGATTTTTCACAGGAGTCAGGAAATGGGCACTGTGACAAACAGGAGGCAAAGATGTGGTAGCAGAAATTCGAACACTCAGTCCCTAATCACAGTCAGGCCCTAATCACAGGCTGACGGGGGTACTAACTGTAATTTCAAAGTATCTTCAAAGTCATACCTAAAACATTTGTACAGAAAGCTGAAATTAGAATGTGGGAAATGCTCCTTTTTATACGGTGATAACATCGGGGAGAGCAAATACTCTGCCTTCTAGAAAGTAAGATGTCATAGGCTGTCAGTGTACTCTTTAAGACTTAATGTAATAGACTCACACAAATAACACACTCCAGGTAGACGAAAACGGGTGTAGAACAGTTGAACAATGTGATTAGTTCACATTCATATTTACTTATGTAGTTGTGTAGATTTACATGAAATGTCTGTCATGGGAAGCCCCACCCCCCTCTGATAAAACACATTCCTAGCCATCACAGCTCAGACTCACTAGCCCAAATGGTAAGAAAAAGTGATGTCAAGGAAGTCAAGTCAAACCTAGAGAGTATTTTAAATTGAATGAAAATATATAAGGGCTATACGCCATAGAAACAAAGTGAGGCCCATCAAAGCATTGTCTCAAACACATTATCAAAGTAACGAACAGAACTAGACCTGGAACTCAAGAACACAATAACCAAAGGTGATAAAGGAAGAAATCAATGAAGTGGATCACCAGCAGTAGCACATTACAAAGGGTTGGGGTCTTTCAACAAACTAATGAATGAATTAAAACAAAAACAACAACAACAACAACAAAAAAAAAAAAAAAAAAAAACCTTGATAGTGAGAGTCAAAAAGGTCCTAACAAACCATCCAAACTCAATATAGAGGGAAGGTGTTTCTGACCCTCAAAATTGACTTTGGCAGTGAGGGAAATGAAGAGATGACCCCGAGTCAAGAACAGTTGAGAACCCCAATTCTGTTTACAGCACCCACATGGCAGCTCACAACTGTCTGCAACTCCAGTTTCAGGGGATCTGATGCCCCCTCTGGCCTCCATGAGAATACCACACACAGGGTGCATGAATATACATGCAGCCACAACAGACAAGATGAACACAAACAAATTCTTTTTAAAAAGATCAAGCAGAACCAGGTTAAAAAAAAATCATTTCTAATGGGATTCCAGGCTATGTTGCTTGTCCATGGACAAAACTGTGAAAAAGAGCTGTAAAGTAATTTAAAGAAATAGTGTGTTTAACATTGCATCACTGAGACAGAACATCTGGGGGGGGGGTCTGCTTAAAGGATGAAGCGCTCCTTCTGGATTACAGTTCAGGGGGTGGCAGCCCATCATGGCAGGGCAGTTTGCATCAAGAAAACACAGGAAGCTTACACTCTTCCAGTGACATACTTCCTTTAACTTGTCCCCATCGCCAGCCTTGCACATGTCACCATCAGCAAAGGTATAACAACAGATATGGCACAGCATGGCTGCCAGCAACCTAAGGCATTCCCCTTTCTTTTAGGGATCTCCACTCAGGTAATACCAGACCCCTGATCTCAGCACAGAATGGAATCTCAGAACCAGCCTGAATGAAGCAAAACTGGAGTTTCTTAAAAAGAGCTTTTAAATACAGATTTAGGCACGGTGGTCCATAGAAAGAGAAACACTCAGGGAAAGAATAAGGCACACCCAATACAGATGTGGGCTTCCCCAAGGAGGGTAGCACTTAGCAGTCTTTACAGAAGCCATTGTTATAATTTTGGTGGGTTCAGAAGTTACATCTTCAAAGGTTGCTAGGAATCTAAATGAGATCCCAGGGTGGCTCCGAGGTATACCAGAAGTATCTCAGCTAATAAATATATGATACCACAAGAAGCATGAGAAACCTAGAGCCTTTTTTATGAGAATTTCAAAATAATATCCAAAGGGGAGTCACATGGGCTCAGGCTTTGAGCATGGTTCATTGTTACTTTCAAAATTCATATTCTAACATTTCTATGCAAAAGGAGTATTGCTGCTCTGCTGGTAATCTTTATAGAAAATGGTAATTGTGGTGGGATTCTTTACTCCCAACTGTCAGGAGGCGTCAGGTGGACTTCAGGAGAGAGGGGCTGCTTTGCCATCCCATGCCCCCTTAATTTGCTGTTCTACTTCCAATAATGCCAGACTATTATAAATCCATATAGGGATTAACCCATTGATTAGGCCATGCCTTCAAAGAAACTTCTCAAAGATGGGCTCTGCTAATGTCAACCAATCATGTTAAGAATCGAGATTAGAGAGCACAATTTTTATCAAAAACAGAGAACATGCTGCTTAAGCAAAAGCATGAGCCTCATCAAAAGGCCCAGTTTATGTGCTTATACAAAGGAAAGAGATTATGCAAACATATTTAATATATAATCTTCATGGTTTAGATCAGTGCCCAAGATTAGATAGATATAGATATATATAGATGTATACATACATATATTCAATAATCTTAGCTCTTATTAATTGAAAACTGAGCTTCTTAGAGTCCAATCTATACCTCCTCTTCAAAGCTAAGGTCCCTATAATGTTAATACAATAGTGACCACCCAGTCCCATTCTTTCCTGCCAGCCCTTAGCAGACCTCCAGCTTACACGTGAGCTCTGCTCCCTGTCCTGAATGGCATTCACCCCAAGCCTACACTCGTGGTTTCTATGTTATTCCCACAGGGGCATTCATACCTCGGTGCAACGACGAGGGCTACTACAAAGCCACGCAGTGCCACGGGAGCACGGGACAGTGCTGGTGTGTGGACAAGTACGGGAACGAGCTGGCTGGCTCCAGGAAACAGGGCACTGTGAGCTGTGGTGAGTATGGCCTCCCGCCCCAGTCCCACAATGCCCCGGGGGACCCAAGGGTCATTACTGTGAAGGGATCACAGCAAGATCTCAAGCTCCAACTCTGGCTGTCGTTGAGTCTGTTGGCGGTAATGGAGGCAGAAATGCTGGGATTTCATGCTAGTAGCAGGTACTCAGCATTACCTCTGGGTGGGCAGGAGTTTCAGGGGACAGGCTCTGGCATGCAGCCTTCCTGACAGTGCTGAAGCCTCTGGCGGTACTCCAGGGCCCTGTTGTAGTTTGCTTTCTATTGCTGTGATAAAGACCATATTCAGAACTAACTCAAGCTTACTGGGAAGTCAGGACAGGAACGAGGAAAGAACATGGAGGCAGAGACTGAAACAGAAGCCATGGAGGAGAACTGCTTTTGGGCTTGCTCCCCAAGGCTTGGTCAGCCCAGGGATGGCACTACCCACAATGCGCTGGGCCCTCCCATATTAACCTTTGATCTAGGAAATGCCCCACAGGCTTGATGAACCTGATGGGGGCATTTTCTCAGCTGGAGTTCCTTTTCCCAATTGTGTCAGGTTGACAAAAAAATTAACCAAGAACGGTTTCCATCAGGGCGGTTCACGGGGCTGAGCCCTGAAGACTGCTCCGAGCTGAGCGCCCACACTGCAGAAGTATATGCCCTGGTATTACCCTGCAACTCAAGTGACAAGCATAGGGAGCCCCGAGTGGGCCCCGAGTGGGCCCCGAGGGATAGTAGGAGCTAACCTGAGGTCTTTCCTTCCTGTGCCAGAAGAGGAGCAGGAAACCTCTGGGGACTTCGGCAGCGGTGGCGCCGTGGTCCTGCTGGACGACCTAGATGAGGAGCGAGAGCTGGGACCAAAGGACAAAGAGGGGAAGCTGAGGATGCACACCCGGGCCGTGAGGGAAGACGACGAGGATGAAGACGACGACAAAGAAGACGAGGCTGGGTACATATGGTAGTGCCCATGAGGGAAAGGACACACTTTTGGCACAGATTTGCAATCCGCTTCCTTTGCCTGCATTTGTATCTAAGACTCCGAGGCACCCAGGTCTCCTCCACTGTTGCTCTGCGTCCCAGGGCTGGGGAAGACCCTCTTCCCAGAGCGTTCCGAATTTGCATACAGTCGCGTGGGAGAAAGGCTGTTGTTTTTGTTCCTTGTTTTGGTTGGACGAGAGGAGGGCTGGCTTCATTAAAGCCCCCTTCTCTCCTGTGAGGCTTTTTGCAGCTAGCATGTGATTTACGTGGACTCCAACAGTGTGGGGAGCCCCACCCTCGCCAACGTCAAAGACCCTCTCCGATTCCCCACGTCGGTGGTTATCACAGCATGGTTCCCAGCCTTATGATGTCTAAGTGCTTTTCTCGTGTCCTGTAGAATGTTGTGGAAAACACACCACACTGTCCCCTTTCCTCCCGTTCCCACCCCCTCTGGTGTTTATTATGAAAAATTAATTTTCCTGTCACTGTATCTGGCTTCCTACAAATGACAGCCTTAATTCAGTCAGAGTCCCTTTGGAGAATTCATTATCTTTCCTAAAAATTAAGATCCCCCTGCTCGCCCTTGCACACGCACAAAGAGGTGAGTGTGCCTCTATGACTTGCACACACACTTCTCCGAGTGTCTGGTTGTAGATAAACAATGGCTTTGAGTCAACATCTCCAGACCCACAACACAAACTGAGATTTGAAACTCCGCTTGGAGTGCTGTTTGCACTGACACATTGGAGTGCTGTTTGCACTGAAGCTTGGTATGTGTAGCCTGAGGCCAGGGAGGCTCCTGTGCTGTGATGGAGTGACTGGAAGACTTTTTGATTTGGAAAGCCTCCCTTTGCCTAAATTGCTCCCCATCCCACCCCCCCCACCCCCCACCCCCCCGCAGAAGCCATGCAACTCCCACTTGGGCAGCTTCACAAGCCATTTCTTCATTTCAGCTCCACTGGGGATGCAGCAGTATCAGCCGGGGGCAGCCCCCTTCCCTACCCACTCAAGGGCTTTTTCCTAAGGCGTTCCCCAGCGAGCCCCTGCTCTCCAAGAAGACAGCATCATGATAATCCTTAGAAGAAAATTTAGAATTCTTCAGGCTTTCTTTTGGCCCCTTTCTATCTACTGATCATGACCAGGGTATAAAGGCTTTAAAGGTTTCTCTTTCTCACCCATTACTTAATAGAAAACCCCAATGGAGGCCTATAAAAAAAAAAGATTAACAGTAGCGCAAGAAGCTTGCCAGCAACCTCCTCTCCAGCGACGCGAATGGAGTCACCACTGAGGTGTTCTTACCGCTGTTTGCCCCCTGAGCTAATCTTTGGCGTCTAGTTTCAGTAGTGATATCATCTCTATACTTTTCATATTTCTTTCACACAAGTACCAAAGAGATATCTTCAGTGCAACCCCACTCAGATCAGGGCCAGTCCCCAAGCTCTACCTGTTTCCTTCCTACTTAAGCCAGTTGCCCCAACCCACCATGACTCACCAGAAACCATTTGCCTCTTGCCCTAACCAGCCACAGCCTGCCAGACACTGTCTCTCTGTTGTCCTTGCCTCTCCCCCATGAGTTTCAGCCATTCCACAAGACAGATCCATCAACTCAGGCAAAAAGTGTGTTTGAGATCGTAAGGGCAGAGCCTGTCTCCCACCTCAAACTGGCTTTACGTAGTAAGTGATTCCCTCTCTGACCAGGATGGACAAAGTGACATCAGCCCCAGAGCCAGGATGCTGAGATTCTGTGTGTTTCCTTCCTGTAAGATGCAGGCCAGCTTAGTTCTGGGATCTCAACGCCATCCTCTCCACTACCATAGTTGGTTTGTTCTTCTCACTCTCACGGATCATAATTTTGGTCATAATTTAGAAAACAGGTGCTTAATCACAGCTAAATTGTAATAGGCTACATTAACAAGACATATTAGAAATCTCAGTTCAGGACAGCAGCATAAGCCATTGTTGTTATTTCCTTTGCGCCTGGAAAAAAAAATGCACAAGAGAACAAATTAACCATTGGCAAATTGATTTCTCTTTGAGAAACTTCTAGGAACCCAACGAGCCACTTATTTTGTCTAATTATCTTATGACAAGTGTCACATTAAGATGACACTTAGAACTCCTTAACATTATCTTAATGGTGAAGGAGAGTACTCAGTAGGCAATTCCCAGGAAGGTAATGAGATGTCATTTTCAGAGACATTCCAAGAAGATATTTTGACTCATTAAAATATTAAATCAAAAGCCCTCCTACATCTGGAACCCACATCAACAAAACAGCCAGTGCTACTCCTCATGTCCCACTTTGGATTTTTACAGACAGTTGTTTATAATGGAACTTCAAGTTAGACCTTGTGTTTTATTCTCCTGAGAAATAGCACTTCCATTGCCCTCTCTCTTTTTGGAAGGAGCTTTTAATTCCAATAATCAGGTGAGCATAAGATACCTTTTAAGCATACGCTACTGTGATGACTGACCTCCTTGGTAAGGCAGGTATCGAGTTGAATCCTTAGAAATCCTTCGATTGATGCCATTACTCTAATTCTACACACCTTTATTTAATACCGTTACTGTGACATCCAATTCAAACCCCAGAATTCTCTTCCACCATGCTTCGTTGTCTGCCACATTAATGTATTTGGTTTCTACAGATATTCTCGGCACGGGGATGCCTTTCTACGGCTTTCTCTCAGTTCCTCCTTTATGCCCACATCCCCATCTACACAAGAAATGATGACTCGTATGTCCAGGTCTGCCCTCAGCCTGTCCCACAATGCCATAGGCATTGGTTTTGGTTTTGGTTTATCCTGACTACACTGTACAGTAATATCCAAGAACCCTTTCTACTATGGGTGGTTTTGGTCTTTTTATGCATTTTCTTGGTCACTGATGTTTGTCCCTGTTCAATGTGTAGCCTTGTAACAAAAACCCATCAAATCCAAAGCGTCAGTTTGTTGTTCCTATTGTAGGTGAAATAGCGATGTAGAAAATCTAGTATTCTGAATGCTTTTCCATGTAGACTCTTCTGGAATGTGAACACAACTCTTTGGTTAATAGCAAACGCTTCCCTGTAGTCCTGAGTAGGTGCAGTTCCGTCTGTCTCAATAAATTTTACTTTGTCCGCAACATGTGAGCGCTTGTGTTTTGTTAGCCCGGATGTGACCTTGACTCACCAAGTCTCCACACAACCACTGTAGAACAGTCTGGGTTGTCAGGTGGTTGCCACTAGGGCCCTCAGTCAAGGCTGCCGGTCACCTGAACCCTCTCAGTTGACCCGTCCAGTTCTCTGTGCCTATCTAGAGACACACCTCTCCTTTAACTGCTTTTGATTCTCTCCGGCCCCAGCTTTCCCCTCGTCCACTGTATTTCACTCTTGTTACCCCTACTCACACGCTCATCATCCCACTGATGCTTCAACCCCAAACTTTACAAACTACAATGACAGGACATCCAGTCACTGTGCCTGGGGAAAGCAGAAACTGTGAGGCTTTCCTGAAATCCTGTGGACTTCACTTATGAAGCAGAAGATTGGCACACTTGACAAGTGTGAGCCCATAAAAGATCATAACACATCATAAAGGAAAGATAAACAAGGGTCTGGAGAAGATAGTGGTGGCATAAAGCAAGGGAATGAAAGCGATTTTCCTTACCTGACGATGATTTTATACATTAGCGTATAGGATATGTTTTACCTCCTAGAAATTCTAAAGAAAAACACAGCACAGCAGACTAGCAAGTAGAAGATTAAAAGCAGTTCACAGGAACACAGAAGGCAGTGGAACTGTACAGTCCACCCAGTATTAGAGAATGGCAAACACTATAAATTGATGCTTATAAATGAGAAAATAATCTTGATCCAGCCCAGTGTTGATGAGAGCACGGATCAAGGGGACTTCTGTACCAAGTGGAATTACAACAGCCGGGTCCTGAAAGAGCTGATAGATATCCAGGAAGCAGAAAGTCCACTTTCTGGCAACCACCCTTAGGAAGAAAAGATGTAACTTAAGATGGTATATATGAAAGCATTTTCTTTGCAGCCTTGTATGCTAGAAAATAGAATTGGGGGGGGGGAGATAAGACTAAATATCCATCAGAGGAGACACAGAAGGAATACTATGTAGCAGTCAAAAGAATAAAGTAACGGGGGCTGGAGAGATGGCTTAGAGGTTAAGAGCCCTGGCTGTTCTTCCAGAGGTCCTGAGTTCAATTTCCAGCAACCACACGGTGGCTCCTAACAATCTCTAATGAGATCTGGTGCCCTCTTCTGGCATACAGACACACACGCAGGTAGAACTTTGTATATATAATAAATAAATAAATCTTTAAAAAAAAGAATAAAGTAACTTGCTATGTGCTAACTTAGAAAACCTCTAACATGTTGGTTATATTGTGTAAATTATAAATATAAAGCTTGATACTATCTGTTGCTCAGAGTACACATGCAAAAAACAAGACCCAGAGGGCTAAATTTCAAAACAGCAGCAGTGGTGGCCTGAAGGAGAAAGCCATGGGGTCGGGGTGGGTGGCATATAGGGGCCTGAACTTCATCTGTAGGGTTCACTATTTGCACCACATAGCAGTACATCACACTGTCTCGTGTAATTTGAGAAATAAAATAGATAAGTGTATTGGCTCTCAGTCCTCAAGACGCCGTGACAAGAAGTTACCCAGGCTACTTAGTGAGCCTGAGGCTAGCCTTGCATAGGGAAGAGAGGGGAGGAAGGGAAAGATGGAGGGGAACAGGGAAACCAATAAAGTGTAGTCCAGCAGCTTCTTCAAAATGCCCATGGTGTAAGGACTAGATCCGGTATCTAAGGCGTCGCCTCCTAATCTCAACCTTCTGTCAACATCTTCTCCACCCCACCATCATTGTCACAGTCCCACCAGGACTACCCCAGGAGCAAGTTTGTGTGATTTCCTCATTCATCCACTCATTCAATGCTGGGCATCAAAACCAGGACTTTGGCAACCCCTCCCCCCCTGCCAGGGGGAAGTGATCAAAGAGGAAGAAACAGAGTCCATGTCAGAGACAGCCCCTGCTCCCCTTACTAGGGATCCCACATGGAGACTGAGCTGCCTATCAGCTCTATCTGAGGAGGGGATCTAGGTTCTCTTCATGCATCGTCCTTGGTTGGTCCATCAGTCTCTGCAGGACTTTATGAGCCCAGATTTGTTGGTTCTGTTGGTCTTCTTATGGAGCTCCTAGGCAGGAGCTCTGGGTCCTTCTATTCTCTGATTCTTTCCTAGGACTCCCTGCACTCTGCCCAAAGTTTGGTATTGCCAGGCCACCAAGGAAGAAGATGCAAGCAGTCCTAATGAGACTTGATAGGCTGGGGTCAGATGGTAGAAGAAGAGGGCTCCCCATTTTCTGAGAAATAGGAAAGGGAAATGGGGGAAAGAAGGAGGGTAGAACTGGAAGGAGTTGAGGGAGGGGGCTACAATCAGGATACACATTGAATAAATTGTAAAATAATAATAAATCTAAATTTAAAAAACAAAACAGGACTTTGCACAAGCAAGGCCAGCACCCCACCACTAGGGTATGAACCCAGCCCTTGAGTTCTTGGGATGGAATCTCTGGCCTTGAGTTTGCAATCTTCCCACCTCAATCCCCCCCCCCTCAAGTGCTGGCAACAAAGGCCCCCTCTACCACCTCCAGCTTCACGAGCTTCTAAACTGCTGACCCCCATTACTCTTGCTAGCCCTTATGATTTATTCTAAATGTTGTCAGCACAGTAATTGATTCTAAAACACCAACGCTGATCAGGTCACTGTCCCTATTTAATTGCAAGCTTTCTTATCAAATTATAAATCACAGTGCTTCTTCTACATATGCAGAGAACATGTCTCAATTCCTCCACTGGATGCCTTAAACTCACACTGGACC